AATTTCTTTCCTTTCTCATTGAGGAGTAGGTCTCTGGGAGGTTCCAGCCCAAAGTTATCTCCATCTCCCTTCATCAAATCAGCCCATTCCCCACAGTCCCACTCCCCACAGTCATCAATGTAGTCCAAAGAATATTTAAGAGCATATTTCAAAGTCCCTCCGAAGTTAAGAACCTCCTCAGCTCCAGACTCCCCCTGGCCCACCCCAACTTCAATCTTCAAAAATAGCGGCTTATGCTCCTGCAGGGCCTCGGATCTCTCCATTTGTATTATTTGAGGTGCAACCGGAACCTCCTCCATTATCTTCTGCACTTGCACTTGCCCAATCAATACAGGTTCCTGAGTTGGTCCCTGAATGGTTTCTGTATCAGTATTCCCTGTTTGTCCACAGTTATTGACCACAACAGTCATCAAATCCGTTTTCTCATTCATCAAATCCATCTTCTCATGCATCTGTTCCAACAAAGCACTTGTCTTGCATAAAGCAAGCACCAAAACATCCTCCCAGCACATTTTATCCAAGGTCAAAGGGACTGGTCCCACGATCTTAATCTCACAGCTGTCTAGTCCTGAAGTAGACTGCAGCAACAATTTAACAAGCTCCCTCTAGAGGAGACAATTTCTATTTGTATCCATCTTTTTAAGGCAAGTCCAACAAAGGAAAATTACTTTCATTTTTCAGATATTTTCTTTCTTTAGAATGCAAAAGGCAACATTGGAATCAGTTTATTTCTCTTTTTTAGCTATCTGTCAAAGTGTTCCATTCACAGTCAATGAACATCTCCAACAATTTCTGTCTCTGACCCCCCGTTCCCAGATTTGAGACGGTGGAAACTTGTCTTTCTTTACTCCCTCTCCCTCCTGCAGGCTTAAACAAAGCCCCCCCCCCTTTTCTCCTGCTTCCAAGGGGGTTTTAGTGGTTATAAATGAAGGAAATTTAGACTTTTATAAACGACTTTCCAGGCTTTAGCTTACAAGGTTTTTGCTTCAGTCTATATACAAAAAGCGGAAGGCGGACTTCCTGTTTTGAACCTTCCCGCTTCGGTGCCAAATTAGGATATTTCTTGATCCAATTTTCCGTTTCTACTCACGGGTACTTGTTTTAAATCCAATTGTCGACAGGAAAAAGTCAGCGCTCTCCGGCAATGGCTATGCGGCTTCACTCCGTGAAAGTAGCAATCAGTTCGCAGCACCGCGCCGCTCACCCCACTTCACTCCGGACCCCCGAAATGGGGTTCCCTGTGAGTAGGGGAGGCGTTCCTGGTGCCCTGCCGAACCCCACGTTCCCAGGCTTCCTCCGCCTGGGATTTCTAGCGGGCCCCCACCTTCGCCGCGGCGGGAAGACCCAGTTTCCACGGAGCCAGTTCCTCCGGTCGGAGGAACTCCGCCATTCGCCAATGGCGCTAACCTGGAAGTCCTCCCCTGGCCTGTCTCTCTGACCCTTGAAACTCTCCCTGGGCCACACTCAAGGGCTTTTGCTCGGCGGGCACACTTTATGCTGGTCTGGATGGAGGAGAGAGAGGATTGTGTGCAGAAACTAGTCCTGCCTGGCCAGCCCCTGCCTTTGAGAACCTCCAGGGGTAAAGTCCAGCCACTGTGTTAGCAGCACCGAAGTGACCCCACAAGCCTGGACAGTGTGTATGGAGGTCATGGACTGCCCAGACAACCAGACCCCCACTCTTGGCACCATACTGAATTCCACTCATGGGGTTTATATCCACACTATTCATACTCACAGCAGACCCACTGATATTAGTGGACACAAGCAACTTAGGCCCATTAAATCAACAGGTCAACCCTGGATGCAACCAATTGTTCTTACCTGTCTTTGTTGCACTATAAATATTTTCAATTGGGAAGACAGTGCCTAGTCCATAAAGCAGGACTTTTGCAAGGGCTGGTATGAGCTGGGTTGTAGTCACCAAAACATTTACACAGTTGGGCCTGCAAGACAAAAAGCAGCGACAGAATTAAAGTCAATGGGGACCCCTCCCTTTCCACCCTCCCCCCAAGAGATCTTTGCTTTTCTGCTCTATTAGGCTAAACTGGAAGCAGGATATAAGGTTTGCCAGCAATGAGTCCCTTGAAATCAGTGATTAACACAGTCAGCAGTGGCTAGACTCTTAAAACGTTTTTCTCCCTCCATAATTTATTATAACTCAAAACTAGCCTGAAAGAGGAGTACGTCACAAGTAATCACACACTGGGGATATAAATGGTGTAAAACTCCAATAGCATTTACACTGCGCCCCCCTTGGGCAGCTGACTCCCTTTATTGCTTTCCTGCTTTCTGCACAAAACTATTATATCTGGGAGCCAGGATTGTTCTGGTTTTAGATCTAGTTCCCCATCACATGTCCAGATGTGGCCCCCCACAAATTTGGCCAAAGGTGTCCTATAAATAAACGTGCCTCGGTTTGTTTGGAGAACACAAGAGGAAAGTAAAACTTCTTGCAGCCTGGAGACGACTCCTTAAGCCGTTCTTACCGGGAATGTATCAAATCCAGAGCTTTCAAAGCATGTGTTAGCCAGAGATCAGTCAGCGCTTCCAGTTCTGCTCTTAACTGCAGCCAGGTTTCCCTCTTAGGAGCTCCTATTAAACCTGTGGATAGAGAAAGCAGCGTTTGTAGCTGGTTCCATGGCTTTTGCAAAGCCATAGAATCATTGAGTTGGAATGAGCCAGAAATCCAACTAGTACAACCTGATGCCCAAAAGGCAGGGCCATCCATCCACCAGCCGCCTACAGCCCCCCCCCACCTGCGCAGTTGATAATCACCATGCGCCAAAGAGCTGGGAGCGAAACTGTATTGCTTGCAATGAAATGAAGCAGCACATTGCTGGTTGGTTTTCCCTCCTAAGCCACTTGTGGTAGAGCTTTCCTCCCCACATCCCATCCCACCCCCAGCAGGCCCCAAGTCTCAGTGCTGCAGCCTCACACAGTTTCTCCTTGGAGTGGCTATAGCAGCCTTTGCCAACCGGATGCCCCCCAAGTCCTTTCAGTAGCTGTGCTGGCTAGGGCTGATGGGGAGTTGGAGTGCAGCTGTTTGGCCAAGGATGCGCTACGGCCTCACCCAGTCCTGAACAGCCCTCCTGTTCTTCCGACTGCACAGAGCCAGCTTCAGTTTCTCTGGGGTGTCCTCAGGCAAGACTCCCTCAGTGGGCTACCTTAAATGGGAGCATCTAATTTAAGTGCTTTGGTTTTTAAAATTTAAATAGCACCTTGCTGGGGCTTCATTAAATGGCTTTTTCCCTTCCGACAGCTTCGGTGGGGCAGGGATTTCATGTGAAATTGCAGCATGGGAAATCTACCCACAAATTACAGTCCTGATAATGATCACACACACACCCCCCCGCTTGTACCTGCAATTTAAAGATTTAAAAACTAGACACGTTCATTGCATTCGTGCAATTAGTGTCATGCCTCATTTGACCTGTGATGCTCAAATTGTGTGCATGTTTCCCCTGAGTTCTCTTCTCCTACCCCTCTCTGCACATGCACACTTTCTTTACGGTTGTGGGATACTGCATTCTGAATCAGAGGTTCACAGTGAGGGGCTTCTCTCTTTCCCGATGAGCTATTTTCCTTATCGCACTCGCCCTGTTCAAGGTGCTTGACACTTGCAGGGGGAAAGATGCAGGTGCTGGTATGTTTTCTCCTGCAGGAGGCCAAGCAACATTGGAATTTCGGTAAAAAAAGTAATCCTTGGGGAAAGAGGTAGGAGCCTTTGGCTAACTCACTTCCCTACACACATCGGGCAGAACATTCATACAACTGAGCACCATGTGTAGTTAGAGGCTTATGTTGCCTCGGAGCAGTCTTGGAAAAAGTTGTGTTGATGAAGTCAAAACTGGCCCAGAGTGGGTTTGGATTTTTATTGTTATTTTTTTTTACATTTATCAGCTGTTAAATGTTTTATGTGTGCCTTTAAAAACATTCAGCAGAACATGCACCATGAACTTAAACAATAACCATTAAAGGTGCAGGCCATTTCCTGCAGATTAGTGACTGTCTGAAAGGAGCCAATGGTCTGAGCTGAAGCAGACAGCTAGATAAGCCCAACCAGTGATTATTTCTTCAATCCCCCTGAAAAGCTGCGTGCCAAGGTCATTATTCTGGATAATAATGGCAGACAATGCACGTTTAAAATACCTGGAGGAGCAATTGCCGTTTCTCCCTCCCTCCTTTCCAACCCCTTCCTGCCTTTTTGGTGTTAGTTCTAGCTATGTGACGGATGTGAAGATGCAATGCTGAGCAGGTTCTACTATGAACGATGCTGGGGCTGCACTGTGGGGCTCCACAATGTTTTGTAATGGAACTGTGAAGGAGAATGGCAGGCTTTCTGGTGAAGCTCCCCCACTCCTCTGCCCAACCTGAACTAACTGGGTAGGCCTGGCCTCAGCACCTTGGCTACAGATCACAGAGTTGGAAGGGACCCTGAAGAACATCTAGCCCAAATAACTAAAATGCATGAATATGCAGCTATCGAACCTGCAACCCTGGTGCTATCAGCACCACGCTCTAATGGACTGAGCTAACCTGAAGTCGTTAGGCAGTTTTTGGAGCCCCAGCACCCCAGGAGAGTTTCTATTAACCACATTTAATATCATATTAGCCTGATTAACAAGGTGATTTCCCTAACTTCAAGTGTTAGCCTGGGTCCATGACAGTGGGCTGCTGCTGAGGCAGATAACTGCTTTTCTGTATGAATTGAAAAACACCAATGACTAAAAGCAGTATAATGAAAACATTCCCCACTAGCAGATTCCTCTCTGGAGCTGCTCCGCGAAGATCCCAAGCAAGTTGGTGCTGATGGAGGAAGGGAATACATCCGTGTGTGCATGTCTGTGTATGAGTGTGAAAACCCAAGACCAGTTCTCTAAGATCTTAAGTAGAAGTCTTTCCTAGAACTCACACTCACAGAATCATAGATCATAGAATTGTAGCATTGGAAGAGACCAGCAGGGTCATCTAGTACAACCCTCTGCAATGCAGAAATCTTTTGCCCAACGTGGGGCTTCAACTCATGACTCTGAGATTAAGAGTCTCATGCTCTATCAACTGAGATATCTCAAGAATTCAGGCCCATAAACTGCAGATCAGTGAAAGTAGCTCACTGGCCAACTTAAACCAGGCAATGTGGACCTAGCAATAGTATTTCTCCACCTTCAACATATAATAAAAGCAGGACTGGGAGTGGGGTCAAGAACAATAACGACCCCAGTATTTTGCTCCAATGACAAGGCTACCCTTATAAGATCCAGCCATTGTGTAACCCAGCTGCCCCCAACCTGCTGCCCTTCAAATGCTGTTGGACTACAAACCCCATCAGCCTCAGCCAGCATGTCCAATGGTGGGATCCATAGTACAAAACATCTGGAAGGTACCAGGTCAGGGGAAGGTTGCCGTGATCTCTCACCAAATTTGTTTGGAGAACTGGAAAATAAACAACGTCCCCCCCACTTGTTTTTGGTACTTCCCCTTCTCTAAATTGCAAAATATGCAAGCCGTTCTCTGCCTCTGCTCTGAAGAACAGGAAGGCAAGAGTCTTAACAAGGATGCAAAGGAGCCTTCCCTGATGGGTTGGGGAGACACTTACCGCCGACATTGTTTTTGTAGGTGTTGTAAAGTTCTTTCACCCGCCGGTAGCGGAATGCTAATTTCCTCATCCAATCAACTCCCCCGTGAACTCCTGAGCCCAGACAAAGATTTGCTCCAGCGGTTGAACTGTGAAAGCCATCTGCTGAGAAATTATATGTGCTGTGGCAAAGGAAGGAGGAGAGGGGGAAGGAGTGAAATTATAACCTACGCTTCCCATTAGGACGGATAAACTAGACAAGAGGAAGACATGCTCCAGACTTCTGGCTAAACCAGAGTCAGTGGACGATGAAAAGAAAGTGTCCTTCTCTATTTGCACTGTAATTTTGTCCTCTCTGCCTATGGTATAGATATCAGTTGATGTACATACGCTCACTGAAAAGGGTCATCTATTGACTCAAACTCTCAGCTGGTTACCATATGCTTTTATCAACATGCTGATGAAATGAAACATAAGATAAAGGCAATGAACGGTCCAACTGGAAGTCGGCCTTTGCAAGTCCCCACAGGATTAAGGGTGTCTGAGCAAGCAGTTTGTGAAAGCAGGGAATAACTGCACTGCAGTTCTGAGGCTACTGCATATATGGTCCTAAATCAGATTTAAAGCAACTTGGCTTTTTGGTGGCCCCATCAATGGGTTGGCCCCAATGACAAATATTCCCTATACTCTCTTTGTCCAATGGGAAATTGGCCCCCAATGGTGAAGGAATGGGATCACAAGCATATGGTTTGATTGTTGGAAAATTAATTTGAAGATAAGAGATGCAACCCTTTGTCAAGTGTCAGGTGCATTTAACTCTCCTCTGAAGCTTCTGGTACTGGATAACTGCTTGAAAATACAATAATGAGACAATTGCACTCTCCCCATAGAGCAGAAAAACTGGTCAGATCAAAGAAAAAATGGCTAAATCAAACAGCCTACAGTATATGTCATTGGCTATTCTCCAAGTATCCAGAAATAGCTGGGAGACTAGTTACATTGCATGCTGCAACACAGTCGCCTTACCTTAAATCTTGCCCATTGTCGTCTGATGACACATCATCTATGTGTATCTGGTCACAATCCTGAAAACCATTTCCAAAAACAATCAGCCAGGAAATGAGTATTGCTTTGTAAAAACAACAATGGAGAGATTTCGTGCAACAGAAACCATGCTGAGGAAAGATTCCCCCAACAATTTCTAGTCAATTATAGTAATCACATTACAAGCAACATTTCAGTCAGATACCACATTCCCAGAACACGAGTTATATGCGGTTAAACACAGCAATTCTCACAGACAATAAGGTCACTCATACAACTCGGTTACCCACCTAAGGGTAAATTGTTTCCTATTCATTCCAGGCAGTGTTGAAACATGCAAAGAAACATCATTGTCTTTCCGGAGGACAGCATCATTAATTGTTTCTATGCCTAAACCTACAAACTTCCTTCTTTAGTGAGAACAAGGTTACAAGGAAAAGGAGACCAACACCAACATATATATCTCGTTCCAATAATGATATTGTTGCATGTGTCTCACTTCCGAACGTGGTGAGAAGTTTCAGGGGGAATGTTACCTGGACTTGGCTTACTCAGTATAAGAAAACACAGGAGGGCAGTGTACACAACATACATTTTAAAGCACCCCCCCAATAGCAACTGTAGTATGTTAAGAGATCTAGGAATGGTAGCTTTGTGAGAGGGGTAAACCACAGCTGCCAGGACTGTTGAGGTGAATGTGCTTTAAATGTATGATATATACACAGCGAAGGTCTGTGGCATTTTTATAGCATTTGCTTTCCTTAAAGGTAAAGGTAAAGGTACCCCTGACTGTTAGGTCCAGTCGCGGACGACTGTGGTGTTGTGCGTTCATCTCGCTCTATAGGCTGAGGGAGCTGGCGTTTGTCCGCAGACAGCTTCCGGGTCATGTGGCCAGCATGACTAAGCCGTTTCTGGTGAACCAGAGCAGCGCACGGAAACAACAATTTCCTTACAAAAATATACCGTATTTTTCGCTCCATAAGATGCACCTTTTCCCTCTTAAAAAATAAGGGGAAATGTCTGTGCGTCTTATGGAGTGGTAATTGAAAGCAAACAGCAGGCACTTCTACAAGGCAGCTGATCTGCTACTCCACACTAGATGATGATGATAATGATGATGATTTATTGAATTATATACTACCCTATACCCAAAGGTCTCAGGGCGGTTCACAGAACAAAATCAGAATATAAGACCACAAAATATATAATCAAAATAAAAACAACCCAATAGCCCCCATCCCCCCCAAAAAACACACATTTTAAAAGGGCACAGGATGTCTCAAATCAACCAAAGGCATGGTTAAAAAGGAATGTTTTTTCCTAGCACCTAAAGGCAAAAGTTTGCCAGGCAAACCTCCCTGGGGAGAGAATTCCACAGATGGGGAGCCACTGCAGAGAAGGCGTGTTCTCATGTTGCCACCCTCCGGACCTCTTGAGCAGGAGGCACACGCAGGAGGGCCTCAGAAGATGACCTCAGGGTCCTGGTAGGTCCATATGGATAGATCTGGGGCCTTGCAATGCACATGCAATGAACAGCCTTCAGCAAACCAGTGCACACTCTATATCCCGCCTTCTTAGCTTTTGTGCCATTTTTCCCAATCTCTGGTGGCTATTATGTTCAAAACAATCAAGCAAACTCCATCTCCTAACCTACTGATAAAGAACCACTAATTCATCAGTGTTGTTGCACTCAGGTTCTGCTTTGGGCTTCCTACAGACATGTGGTTCACCACTATGGGAACAGGATGCTGGACTAGATGGGCCACTGGTTGGATCCAGCTGGTTCTTATGTTCTTATCACCAAGCTGTTAGTTAGCAATCTGCCTAAGAGAGGAATGCTCAGCCACAATAATTTTTACACCACCAAACAAATGTGCTGATATGTCATTCATAGCATTGGCTGTTGTATATCAATGACTGGAAGAAGAAGAAAAACAGGGTAGTGATTATAAGTGCAGAACTTGAGGATGACGGTTATTCCGTGCTAATTAGCAGAGTTCAACACCTTTGAACTGTGTCAATACAGAAAATCTTAAGGAACCAGGAACAGTTGCCTGCCAAGAACTCTTAGGGGATGATCATTTCTACTTGCTGAGCACAGAGGAAATTGTGACAGGAAAACACTACAGCTATCAACCTTATTATTTGTGCATGCCTATAAAGTTATACAAAAACTTTGGAGGAGAAAAGCAACCAAAGCCCATCTTGGTAGATAACGGACTTGGAGTTCAGCCACTGTGAAATATGCACTCTAAAACCTTATCTTCCAAGTTCTTTATTGTCTGAGTGGAGGAGGCCTCAACCTCAAAAACTTTAACTATGTTATTTTAATGGTTTCTTTATTTGGTTTGACATTCCAAATTCCTAAAGAGTCAGGAAGCTTCCTTCCGTGACCCTCGCAGGGCAGAAACAAAAAAATCATGCTGCAGTGAGTGTACATGCAAATCAGAAAGTTGCTTCCGCTGCCCCCCCCTTACCCCACCCCAAAACTATCACATTGACTTGGTATTTTCACAGAGTTGCAAAAGCTTCAAGGGAGGAAGACTTTTACTGAGTAACATTTAATGAGTAGGGTGGGTGATGGCAAAACTACACACTATGCTAACTGCATTTAAGGTGATCAGTTTTTAAGTAAAAACACTGATAAGCATTTGGAGCAGAGCAGGTGAAGAAATATTAACTTTTCTTGATGGACATAGCCCTGTGAAGCTGTTGCTTGCATCAGGAAGGAAGCTCATTGAGTTGTAGAGTTGGAAGGGTCACCCAACGGTCATCTAGTCAACCCCCATGCCAGAGTTGGGCCTAACGTAAAGGATCCAACGATCCAGCATAGTTACAGGTGAGCGAAGAGATTATGGCTATATTGCTACCTCCAGGATCAGAGGCAACACGCTTCTAAATCTCAGGTGCTAGGGATCATGAGTGCAAGAGGGCCATTTCCCTTATGTCCAACTTGTGGACTTCGCAGAGACATTTGATTGGCTGCTGTGGGAGACATGACTCTGCACTAGATAGGCCTTTGGTGTGATCCAGTAGGGCTCTTTGTATGCTGTTCTGTTTTGGAAAGACAGATCAGGATCTGAGGGGCCAAAGGCAAGGGCACAGAAGAAGGCCAAAGGCAGAGTCCAGAGAAGACAATGAGATGGGCAGGGCAAGATGGGTGAGGTGAAGCCAGGGGCGGAGGAAGGGGTGTGTGGTGGGTGGGATACTGCAGCCTACGCAGCACCCCTCATACCCAGAGGTTGGCCATGGTTGCCACAAAAACCCAGCGCACTGCCTTATTGAGGCTCCTGATTGAGACCTGTCCCAACCCCAGGCCCCTTATACAATACAAACATGGGATTCAACCCATGCATCTACAGGTATGTTTCTTTAAGCTTCCTTGACGTTCCTTAAAAACCCAAGGACCATCACAGCAGAGACACAGATCCTGCTTTCGCTGGCTTGTGTGCGTTACAAGCCA